CCTCCATCTTTTTTTAAGTAAACGGTGTGAGTTTTAAGAAATTCTTTGTAAGTTATTAACCCAGTGCCACTGGGGATGCCATGCATATATATACCATGCCCACTGTGTGTTTAGTTCTCTTTATACATAGATGGCTTAGTAGCAGCTGGTTATAATGTATAATGTATTTTACCTTTTTCCTTGATTTTTTTTCTTTTCTTTTTTTCTATATAGCTGTTAGTGACATAAACAACATTATGATAATCATAATGTGCATAATAATAAAATCCTTTCTTGTGGAAAGGTTAAATCAGTTGAGGTTATGAAGTCTGCTAATTGACTCCTTGGTGGCTGATCTCTTGTGGAGCCATCTGTGTGTAGAGAAATTAAACAAAATAATACTACAGTGAATACATTTTTCTGGTAGCATTGGGTTAAGACCTACCAAGGTATCGAAATTTCAGGGGAAAATTTTGCCCCAAATATGTACTGTCTTTTGTAAAATTTGTAATCCACTTAAGAAAAAAAAAACAAAAAAAACATTGAAACGAGTATACTTTGTACGTCATACTATTTTTTGAAAAGAATTTTTTAATAAAGTAGATAGTGTGTGTTTCTGTATCAGTGTGTTAATAGAATCTCGCTTTCAGAAAAACGACAAGAATATTGAGATTGTGACAATATACGGTAATCATCAGGAATTAGGCAAGGAAAAGGATGAGGAGCAGGCAAATTGTGAGAGTTCTGAGTTGAAAAAAGGTCTGTCTGAAAATGACCCTTCAACTCTTGGTTCTAATGCCATCCAGACAGAAAAGACAAGTGGTAGTAGTATTATGTCAACCCCGGAACAACAGAACGAGGCAAGAAAATGGCTTGATTTATTCTTTGAACTTATTTTCATTATTATTTAAAAATGTGCCTTTATTCCTTTTTTTTTTCCCCACTGCATTATTCTTTTATTTTCTGTCTGCTACTTCTGCCTCTTTGTTCTGCTCTCATTCGTCCTCTTCCTCTTACTCTTCCTCCTCCACCTCTTTCTTGTCCTCCTCCTCCTCCTCTCCTCCTCCTCTTTTTCCTCCTCCTCCTCCTCCTCCTCTTTTTCCTCCTCCTCCTCCTCCTCCTCCTCCTCCTCCTCCTCCTCTCCTCCTCCTCCTCCTTCTTCCCCTCCCGCAAAGATAACTTACACAAAATTTTACTGGTTTTCAACAGATCTAAAAACCAGGCAAAAGCATCTGGCGAAGACCTGGATCCATCATGCTGACCTTAAATCAGTGAGTTGGTCACTGTTTATGATATATTTTCCCTGTACGTTTTTTTTTTTCTGCAGTGCTAATAGATTGAGAGGAATTACAGTGAAATGATGTTCATTGTTACAGGTACAAGATGCACAAGTGGTAATGCTAGGTTAAGAATGTTACCATCAACAGTGAAGGAACACTGTTTCAAAATAAAAACAGAATGAGGTAAAAGAAAAGAAAGACAAAAGAAAAAAAAATGCAGAATCCAAGAAGGTAATAGCAAGTAAGGAACTTTCTTTCTTTGTATAAGTGAAATTTGTATTTGTTTTTGTTTCTAATATTTTGTTGCTAACATTATAAGGTTTAGAGATGATTGCATTATGATTTTATGGTATAAAAAAAGTTATTGTTTTCAGTTCAGATACTTTACCAGATATTGTTAAGTTTGTGTCCACACAAAAGAAAATAATCAGGTAAATTGAAAAGCACAAGATAATTATAAATATATATATATATATTATTTACATTTCTTTGTCACATTTGTTGATTAAAAATAGATTGGTGAATATATTGTTTTATTCAATGCCTTCCTCTGACTACTAATAGAATAAAGTCACACACACACACACAACACACACACACACAACACACACACACACAACACACACACACACACACACAACACACACACACACACACACACACCACACACACACACACACACAACACACACACACACATATACACATGCATGCATTCATACATACATACATACATATACATATACATATACATATACATATACATATACATATACATATACATATACATATACATATACATATACATATACATATACATATACATATACATATACATATACATATACATATACATTAAAATAATAACTAAAAATAGATTGGTGAATATATTGTTTTATTTAATGCCTTCCTCTGACTACTAATAAAATAGTCATATATATATATATATATATATATATATATATATATATATATATATATATATATATATATATATATATATATTATATATATAATATATATCTATATATATTATATATTTAATATATATATATATATATATATATATATATATATATATATATATATATATATATATATATATATTTATATAATATATATGTGTGTGTGTGTGTGTGTGTGTGTGTGTGTGTGTGTGTGTGTGTGTGTGTGTGTGTGTGTGTGTGTGTGTGTGTGTGTGTGTGTGTGTGTGTGTGTTTTAACACACATATATATATATATGCATATAAATTTGTTTTTATTTGTATATAGCTGCATGTGTAGAAAAAGAAATATATATTATTGATATTGTTATCATTATTATTATTGTTTTATTGCTATTATTACTACTGCTATCATCATTATCATTATTAATGTCAGTATTTTTACTACCATAATAATTATTACTATTGCACATTTTTTTTTCTAAACCCATATGGTATTGCATGCAAAATTAACCCATTTCCGACGGGCATGCCATGTCATGCCCACTGTGAGATTGCTTTTTGGATTGTTTTGTTCATTTTCCCCGGCGGCAATGGGTTAACCTAATTGGCATGGATGGCAAGAGTACATGCCATGCCCACTATACAACAAGTTCATCAATTGTCGTTGCATAGATGGCTCTGCAAGTGCTTAGTCACCAAGGAAGCAGTTATTAGTCCTACTTATCTCACTTGTTTACCCTTTTCCTTGATTTTTGGAAAGCTTCATTTATATTATTTTATTTTTCTTAATATTATTAATATTTTAATAACAATCAAATAATCACAAGAATAATAACAGTATCATTATTAATAATATTAAAAAAAGAAACACCTTCCTGGAAATTTAAGGAATGGGGAAATTATGTACTGTCATTAGGGACTACTGATTGACTCCTTGGTTGCAGAGCACATGTGGAGCCATCTGTATGTAACAAAATTGACAAAAACTACAGGGGACGAGCACTTAATCCGTAGTCATTGAGTTAAGCTTAGTATAATTATGAGTCAAATATAGATTCTGTGTTCTAATGACCAACATTTTCTCGTGCTTTATCCATCAACAGGTACAAAGGTTTCCGTAGCAAGTTTGAAGGTAAGACTCCGTCCCTAAGGAAGCTGAGCATGAAGTTTTTGGGTATGAAGATCCAGGAAGGGGAGCATAACTCAGTAAGTGGATTCACATTTATCACTGAGCTTTCATTTGGTTTTACAAAGAATGTACAAGAATAGTTTTTGAAAATGGTTTCTAATGCATATAATGTGTACCATTGCAGGTTGAAGATGCACAAGCAACAATGAGTCTGTACATGCTTTGTCGAAAGCAGTGGGACCCTAAACAGAAGAAGAAGGTAATAATCTACTCAGTGAAGGGAATAATGTTTATAACTCTGGCTTGTTGATATATATATTATGCTCAATATATTTTGTGTCTGTGGAGGGAAGGGTAGCAAATAGTCCTGTTACTTATATTTTTACATTTTCATTAGCTGTAGATGAAGATATTTTATGATTGTTTATTTATTTCCAGAGGAACAATGCTAGTAAAGAATATTATAAATATGAACCAAGAAAAGAAAGCAGAAGAACCAACGTCACGTCATCTTCATACTTCGGCCAAGTCAGCAAGCTCCCGTCATTTGAAACCGTAATAGTTATGATGATCACATTTTTGGTTTTCATCTCATCTTATTATCCTCGTGAGCCCATTCGCCCAGGGTTTATGTAATTTTTAAAATTTATTTATTTATTTATTTATTTATTTTTATTCAATTCTTTTCTTTCCTCACCACTCCCCCCCTGCCCCCCCTACACACAGATAGTTCCTCAAGTGCTCAGCCACCAAAGAGTCAGTTAGTATGTCCTAATGACCATACATGATATCTCCATTCCTTTTTTTTTTTTTGAGTGTGTGTGCGTGTGTGTCTGTGTGTGATTTTTAATGCTGTTAATCCATAGCCGCCAGGGATAGCATGTACATACATGCCATGCCCACCGTAATTTTAATTTATCAATAGTTTTTACACATTGATGGCTCCAGAAGAATGAAGTCACCAATGATCCAGTTGCGAGTACTACCTGTGCTTAACCTTTTTTTTTTTTTTCTTTTTTCTTTCTTGTATCTAATATCACTGTTATTAATGTCAGTAACACAATAATAATTATGCCAATGATAAAAATAACAGCATCGATATTGATATCACTATTAAAACTTAAGGAAAGGTGAAAGGTGAGACATTTCACAAAGCAATACTACAGTGAACATGACATTTTCCAAGAGACTTTGGGTTAGTATTCCTACTTTTATTATTGTTATTGACATTTGGATTATTATAATGTTATTAAGATACTTATAATAATCTAAAAATAATAAGGAAAAGGATAAACAGGTGAGATAGATAAGACTGATAATGTGTGACTATGTAAACACTGGGTGAGTCATCTCTTGCAAACACAATTGATAAACTAAAGTTGCAGTGGACTGAGCATGCAATTTTGCCATCTGGGGCAAATGGGTTGATCAAGTAATTGAAGCTCGTGTACTGTTTTGGCCATTAGTGACCAAAAATTCATCAAAGCTCAAGAGAATATTAGATGTATAATGCTGTATAAGACATAGATTTAAGCCAGTGAGACTGAGAGTGAATATATACATGACTCCTTTCTTTTCCATTCTTATCTTTTTTTTTTTTCTTTTCACATTTACGGTTTCACTTACTTAGTCATCAAGAAGTTAGTTTCAAGGCCTACCTGACTTTAACTGTTTACCTCATTTCTTTATTTTTAGGAAAAAGGATTTATTTTTATAACTATTATTATTGTTATCAACATTATGATAATGCTAATAATTATGATAACATTGATGATGATAATGATAATGAAGAAATTGAGATATGAGGATAATGAAATTGACATATGATAATAATGAAATGAAATTGCCATATGATGATAATGAAATGAATTGACATATGATAATAGAAATAAAAACTTTTCACCCTAATTCAAGGGATAAGGTAAACAGATGTGATCATATAGGCCAAGTATATAGCTTATTACCTGTGGAGCTTCCAGTGGCTGGTTGCCAAGGCTGTTCTTGGTAACCACCCTTCTTTTGCTAGTTGCTAGGACCTGCATTTAATGATTAATAGAATTTGATTCAGCCGTCATCTCATTACCATGGAGTTCTTTGTCCGGTGTTGAATTTAACCAGTCATCTAATATGATTTTAAACATTTCTGTAATGCACTGAATTATGCTTCCAATATTCTTTGGTGCACTGTTAAGCAGCTTTGGCCCACTGATTAAGAAACGTTGTTTTTGCATTTTCCATATTGGAAATCTAAGTAATCTCAGTAACACATTCTTCGCTCTGAGAAAATATCTTGCTTTAACCCCCCCCCCCCTTCTACCTCTACGATTTAGTGCCAAATGTTCCGTGATCTTCCATGCATATATGATATACCTTGCCCTCCATCTTTTTTTAAGTAAACGGTGTGAGTTTTAAGAAATTCTTTGTAAGTTATTAACCCAGTGCCACTGGGGATGCCATGCATATATATACCATGCCCACTGTGTGTTTAGTTCTCTTTATACATAGATGGCTTAGTAGCAGCTGGTTATAATGTATAATGTATTTTACCTTTTTCCTTGATTTTTTTTCTTTTCTTTTTTTCTATATAGCTGTTAGTGACATAAACAACATTATGATAATCATAATGTGCATAATAATAAAATCCTTTCTTGTGGAAAGGTTAAATCAGTTGAGGTTATGAAGTCTGCTAATTGACTCCTTGGTGGCTGATCTCTTGTGGAGCCATCTGTGTGTAGAGAAATTAAACAAAATAATACTACAGTGAATACATTTTTCTGGTAGCATTGGGTTAAGACCTACCAAGGTATCGAAATTTCAGGGGAAAATTTTGCCCCAAAGATGTACTGTCTTTTGTAAAATTTGTAATCCACTTAAAAAAAAAAAAAAAAAAAAAAACATTGAAACGAGTATACTTTGTACGTCATACTACTTTTTGAAAAGAATTTTTTAATAAAGTAGATAGTGTGTGTTTCTGTATCAGTGTGTTAATAGAATCTCGCTTTCAGAAAAACGACAAGAATATTGAGATTGTGACAATATACGGTAATCATCAGGAATTAGGCAAGGAAAAGGATGAAGAGCTGGCAAATTGTGAGAGTTCTGAGTTGAAAAAAGGTCTGTCTGAAAATGACCCTTCAACTCTTGGTTCTAATGCCATCCAGACAGAAAAGACAAGTGGTAGTAGTATTATGTCAACCCCGGAACAACAGAACGAGGCAAGAAAATGGCTTGATTTATTCTTTGAACTTATTTTCATTATTATTTAAAAATGTGCCTTTATTCCTTTTTTTTCCCCACTGCATTATTCTTTTTATTTTCTGTCTGCTACTTCTGCCTCTTTGTTCTGCTCTCATTCCTCCTCCTCTTCCTCTTACTCTTCCTCCTCCACCTCTTTCCTGTCCTCCTCCTCCTCTTTTTCCTCCTCCTCCTCCTTTTCTTTCCTGTCCTCCTCCTCCTCACACACACACACACACACACACACTCCTCTTCCTCCTCCTCTCTTACTCCTGTTCTTCTAACTCCTCTTCCTCCTCTCCCCCCCCCCCCCCCAACTCCTGCTCCTCCTCCTCTTCCTAGCCTGCTCTTCCTCCTTATGTGCTCGTCCTCTCCTACTCCAAAGATAATTTACACAAAAGTTTATTGGTTTTCAACAAATATAAAAACCTCCTCATCTGCTGCTCCTCCTTTTCTCCTACTCCTGTTTTTTTTGTTTTTTTTCATCTTCTTCAATTCTTCTTCCCCTCCTCCTCCTCCACCTCCTCCTCCTCCTCCTCCTCCTCCTCCTCCTCCTCCTCCTCCTCCTCCTCCTCCCGCAAAGATAACTTACACAAAATTTTACTGGTTTTCAACAGATCTAAAAACCAGGCAAAAGCATCTGGCGAAGACCTGGATCCATCATGCTGACCTTAAATCAGTGAGTTGGTCACTGTTTATGATATATTTTCCCTGTACGTTTTTTTTTTTTCTGCAGTGCTAATAGATTGAGAGGAATTACAGTGAAATGATGTTCATTGTTACAGGTACAAGATGCACAAGTGGTAATGCTAGGTTAAGAATGTTACCATCAACAGTGAAGGAACACTGTTTCAAAATAAAAACAGAATGAGGTAAAAGAAAAGAAAGACAAAAGAAAAAAAAATGCAGAATCCAAGAAGGTAATAGCAAGT